ATCGGAGATTAAATTTGTATGAAAGCAAGAGATAATCTTGGATTGAAAGATGGAGAATCCAAGTGTATGGATGTAAAAAACAGCAGGGGGAGAAAGACACTGACCGGAGTAGTCTATAGGCCCCCTAGCAGCAGCTATACAGTGGGATGGGAAATTAATTAGGCGATAATGAGGAGCTTTAAAAGAGCATTACATTAATCGTGGATGACTTTAATATCCAAGTAGATTGGAAAAATCAAATTGGCAGAGGTGGCAGTGAGGTAGAATTCACAGCGTGTAATCGGGACAGTTTCTAGGATCAACACATTGTGGATCCAACTGGGTGTCAGGGCATTTTGGATCTGGTAACTTGTAATGAGGCAGGTTTAATAAATGATCTCTGAGTAAAAGATCCTCTAGGAAACCTGGACAATAACGTGGTAGAATTTAGCATTTGGTTGGAGAGTGAGAAACTTGGGTCAGAAAAAAACTATGCTAAACTTAAATAATGGTAATTTCAAAGAAATGATGATAGAGTTGGCTGGGAATGGAATTTAGCAGAAAAGACAGTTGATGGACAATAGGCAGCCATTTAAGAAGACAGTTCATGACTTACTACAAAGATATATCCCAATGAGGAAGGAGGATTTTAGGGAGGGGATGGATTGACCATGTTTAACCAAGGAGGTTAAGGATGACATCAAATTCAAAGAAAAATATACAATGTGGCAATGATTAGTGGTAAACCAGAGCATTGGAATTTTTTTAAAAGCCAAAAAAAAGACAAAACTACATCAGGGGAAGAAAATAAACTCAGGATAAACAAGCAAGCATTGTAAAAACTGACAGTGAGCTTTCTGAAAACAAAGAGAGGTGTGAAAGTGAACATGTATCATTCAGAGAATGAAGCTGAGGAAAAAATAATGGGGAACCAGGAAATGGCAAAAGAGTTGAATAAATTGTTTGTATCAGAGTTTTGATTACATTCCAAAAAATCAAGGAGCAATATTGGGGTGAGAGGGTAGGAGAGGAAATAAATACAAGTTGGAGCAGTTGATGGTGTAAACCCACTCTACTAGCAGAACGAGAAAATGCACAAGGTAATTCCACTACATGGAATCTCGATCTTAGCTGTCAGGAAGTGTGGGCAATGCAGGATGGTACTCCAGTGCAGTACTACACCGTGAACAAAGAACAAAGAAAATTACAGCACAGGAACAGGCCCTTCAGCCCTCCCAGCCTGCGCCAATCCAGATCCTCTATCTAAACCTATCGCCTATTTTCCAATGATCTGTATTCCTCTGCTCCCTGCCGATTCATGTATCTGTCTAGATACATCTTAAATGATGCTATTGTGCCCGTCTCTACCACCTCCACTGGCAACACGTTCCAGGCACCCACCACCCTCTGCGTGAAGAACTTCCCACGCATATCTCCCTTAAACCTTTCCCCTCTCACCTTGAAATCGTGACCCCTAGTAATTGAGTCCCCCACTCTGGGGAAAAAGCTTCTTGCTATCCACCCTGTCTATACCTCTCACGATTTTGTAGACCTCAATCAGGTCCCCCCTCAATCTCTGTCTTTCTAATGTAAATAATCCTAATCTACTCAACCTAAACAGTGGGAGATACTGTCTTTTGCATGAGAAGGTAATAGCTCATTATAAATTGCATATGCATTCATTTAAATGGAACACATTTTCCTGAAACTAAATTAAATTCTTTCAATATTTAAAAATACATAATTTTGAAAAAAAAGGTTGTTGCAGTTTCAGCTGGAGGAGAATTACTCCATTTCTTTTTCTTAAAAGTGATAACATCTTAGATAATTATTGTCTTCTCATAGTTCAAAAACCCCAAATGTATATGCATTTATATGTTTGAGTGTTTTAATAATGATGTTTGCTTCATCCCGATACCTCCAAACCCCGCAACCAGGATGCTCAATCCACACACGTCATTTCATGCATTCCAGACAGGAAATTCAACAACATTCCCAGGTTGTACTTATTTGTTTTATATTAGACTAGGAAAGTCAAAGATCAACTCATAGAATGCAGAAGAGACCCTTCAGCCCATCGATGTATTGCCAAAACTACTCGAACCCTACTCTGGTCCCACTTCCCAGCAGCTGGCCCATGGCCTCGAATGTTATGACACTTCAAGTGCTCATCTAAGTAATTTTTAAAAGTTGTGAGACTACCCGCCTCAGCTACCCTCCCAGGCAGTGCATTCCAGAACCTCACCTCGGGGTGAAAAATATATTTTCCCAAAACCCAGAGATAGTTGAAACTGCCGATGCTGGAGTCTGAGAAAGCAAGGTGTGGAGCTGGATGAACACAGCAGGCCAGGCAGCATCAGAGGAGCAGGAAAGCTGACATTTCGGGTCTGGACCCTTCTTCAGAAATGTTTTCCCAAAACACTTTGCCTTTCACCTTCAAAGTGTGCCCCCTTGCTATTGACCCTTCAACTAAGGGCAACAACTGCTTTCTATCCACTCTGTACATGCCCCTACTAATCTTACATGTCTAAATCAGGTCCCTTCTCAAGCCTTCGCTGCTTTAAAGAAACCATCCCGAGTTAATCCAAGACAACAAGGTGCAGGGCTGGATGAACACAG